AATACACATACATGTGGAGGGGAATCTTGGAAGAATTCTCATCCATCTAAGAATTGGTTGGTGAGTGTTATAAAGGACAAATTACGAAATTCCCCCCATGACAAACCCAGGGAAATTGCTAAGAGCATTTCAAGGGACTTTGGAATTGAATTGAACTACAAACAAGTCTGGTGTGGAATTGAGGATGCCAGGGAGCAACTTCAGGGTTCATATAAAGAGTCATACAATCGATTGCCTTGGCTCTGTGAGAAGGTGCTGGAGACAAATCCTGGTAGTTTCTCCAAACTGATCACTGATGATGAGAAAAGACTTAAATGCCTTTTCATCTCATTTCATTCCTGTATATGTGGTTTCCAGAATGGCTGCCGTCCCATTCTTTTTCTTAATGCTACTTCTCTGAGATCGAAGCACCAAGAAAGTTTGTTAACAGCTGCTGCAGTTGATGCCGATGATGGTTTCTTCCCTGTTGCATTTGCAATAGTCAACATTGAAAATGATGAGAACTGGCATTGGTTTCTGGAGCAACTGAAATGTGCAATATCAACATCAGAACCCGTAACTTTTGTTTCAGATAGAGAGATGGGATTAACGAAGTCGGTTCTAAAGGTATTTAAGAATGCTCATCATGGTTATTCCATGTACCACCTTGTAGAAAGTTTCAGGAGAAACTCAAAGGGCCCATTCAATGGGGAAGGGCAAGGTGCTTTGCCTGGACTGTTTCTGGCTGCTGGACATGCATCTGGACTCAATGTTTTCGAGAAGTTCACTGAGCAGATTAGAGAGATTTCTCCGAATTCTTATGATTGGTTTATTCAGATTGAGCCGGAGCAGTGGACGAGTTCTCTATTCAAAGGTGAGCCGTTTAACCATATCACAGAAAATGTAGCAGAACCATATTCTAAGCTGATGGAGGAAATACGGGAATCAACTTTAATGCAGAAGATTGAAGAATTCATATACATGGTTAGTGAATTGATAAATAATCGTCGAACAGAGTCAAGTAAATGGACTACAAAACTTACTCCACCCAAAGAGAAAAAGATCCAGGAAGAAGCCTTTAGAGCAGAAAATCTTCGAGTGTTTATGGCATCAGATATTCTATTTGAGGTTCATGATGAATCTACTCATGTAGTGAATATCGAGAAATGGGACTGTACTTGCCTAGAATGGAAAGAATGTGGGTTACCATGTCGACATGCTATTGCTTCCTTCAACATTGCAGGGAAGAGTCTGTACGATTATTGTCCGAGACACTTCAGTGTTGATACTTACAAGTCAACATATTCAGAGTCCATAAACCATATTCCTGAAATTGGTGCACTGGTGGGAACGGAAGAGACTGATTTGGACACAATGCACGTGCTTCCTCCTCTCCCTCGATCACCAGATCAACACAAGGCAATCATCAAAATAGAGGATCCAGATAAGAGGACAGTCACTTGTTCGAAGTGCAAGCAACTCGGGCATAATAAAGCTTCATGCAAGACCAACTTGTAGGTTCCACATATGGTCTAATTTGGCACCTTAGATGTTGGCATGTGAAGGCATTAGCTTTAGACTTGCATTGACAGAAACTATAGTTTATGATTACTGCAGCTGTAATGTTACTATAAATTTTCAGATTGTGGTTCAGTCAGTTATGTTGAGCTGTTTACTGTAGTTACCTACACCCTTGTTAAATTTTGTTAACCTGAAGTGATTGCCAGTTTAATTAAAAATAAGCACATGGATGGAACTCATTTCAACCAAACTTTTTGAGTGAATATTTTCTTGCTGGTCAATTTTTATTTTCTTGGTTGTTAAAATGAAGCTTCCACCCTCCATATTGCAGTCTCTAGTCAGTTATGTTTACTAATATTTGCTTTCTACCCGAGCCCAACCCCACCCATGCGTCTCATGATCGAGATTTATTTTATTTTATTTTATTTTTTCGTTTTCTTTTTGGGCGGTGGAGGTGTAAGATCCCTTCTCTCTCTAGTAAGTACAGTGAATGATTTTCGCTATCTATTTGATTTATATCATCACCAACTTGCTTTTCAGTCAAAGTGATTTGACAAACGAAAAGACTTCTCATTTGAAACGAGTATAGTCCCAATCCCTAATATAGTAGTCAATTAGTGGGACATTCATATGCATCATTACTCAATGAAAGAAAGTCCCGTCATCCTAATCTCATCTACTAAAAAGGGAAAAACCAAGCGGGCCTAGCAGTTCTTATTCGTTTGGAACCTATTATATTACACATGCATGATAAAAGAACTTTAGAAATGTGGCCCCCCTCCCCCTTCTTAAATTTTGATAAGGTGTAGTCAATGTCTACCTAATTAAAACTAAGCACATGGGATGGGTCATAATTGAACCAAAACAAAATCAAAATAAAAATCATTCGTTTGTTCTTTGATCCTATATGTCCTAATGTCACCACAACTCGAGTGACCAAATATGCATTTTCCCTTTATTTGACAGAAAAACTAAGATCTAGGTCAACAACAAATAAAAACCATTTGTCCAAAAAGAACATCTCAAGACCTCAGGCACGTGTCTAAATGAAAAAAAACTGGTTTTATAATTTAGTCTATTTCTTTTTCTGTGTAGCGTTTGATGAAGATAATCATTACCTACAAAAATAAGGGTATTGTACATCAAAATGAGTTAATTACTCGTAGCTGACCTACTTCTTCTACATTGCATGCATTCATGTTGTTATTAGGTAAGAATAGTTGAAGACATTTTCTACCAACAAAAAATCATTTCATAGTATACTCGTTTACATAAATACGTATTGTATGAAACTCCGATTCGTTACTACAAGTTATTAACCACTGAAATTGAAGAATTACGAGGCGGCATAACGATGGCAGCGGACTACCAAAGAATTCATCCGGTGGTGGTCGTTCCCAAATCTCCACTTAGAACGCCTCCAGGTTCTATTCTTCGATCAAACAAAGTTGAGCCCGGGGGACAGGCGCAGCATCAAATTCCATTGAGACGCAACGTCACCTTTTCTGTCGTGCCACCACCACCACCTATAAAGAAGAGAAGTTGTTTGTGCAAATGCATCTGCTGGACAATTAGTTTACTCATCCTCCTACTCTTCATTCTTGGAGCTACTATTGGCATTCTTTACCTTGTACTTCAACCCAAGCTTCCCAAATACTCGGTAGACAATCTCAGGATAACGGATTTGACACTCAATTTCGACTTGAGCCTCTACGTGAGGTTCAACGTGCAGATCACTGCCTATAACCCGAATAAGAATATTGGGATATATTACGAGAAAGGGAGCCATTTGAGTGTCTGGTACAAGGACACAAACCTGTGCCAAGGATCAATTCCCAGATTCTACCAAGGGTACCAGAATAAGACAGTGCTGAATGTGACCTTGAGTGGCCAAAATCAATATGGGAGGACTCTCCTGGAGGCATTGCAGGAGCAGCAACAGACTGGAAGAATTCCATTGGATCTCAAGATTAACGAGCCAGTCAGCATCAAACTTAAGACTCTGAAACTGATGAAGGTTAAGATCGTTGGCACCTGCAAGTTGATCGTTGATAGCCTATCGACTAATAGTATCATTAGCATCAAAGCCAGTACCTGTAATTTTGGAATCAAGCTCTGAATATCTATCAATCCCTTTTCTTCTGTCCCTTTTATCCCCTTTTGATGTCTTACTAAGACAGTTTTCTCTGTTCCAGTATAAACAGATTACTCGCACAGTGTTTACTTCGTTTCTAGATCTCTGATCTGCATGTTGAGAAGCTAGAATTACATTTAGATCAAAGTATTACTTCTAATTTGTTTTCTTGAAAATCATGAAATAAGTCATGTTATTGGATCCGTATCAAATAAACCTATGCAACTAAATGCGTCAAAATTCGCAAAAAGTAACTAGACTTAAAGATCCCTTTTATATTTTAGAGATGAAGTTTTATTAGCACAAAGTAAAAACATAGAAGGCGACAAGGAGTACTTTGATATAGATCTTGGGAGAGTCGTACCTCAAAAGCTAATTGTAGAAGTTGGAGAATCCATATCTATATAACTACACACCGAAATCCCATACTTTCGTCACCCACGTCGGACTGGCTCTGCATTAGTCCATAACTAGTCGCGAACGAACACTGATATGCCGTGTCACCATCCTTGCCGCTCGATTGCAACCAGGAGACAGTGTCTGCTCTGATACCATTGATATATATCTTAGGAAAGCCATATTTCAAAAGCTAGCCGTTGAAGTTGGAGAACCCAAGCCTATATAAACCACATACCGAAAGCCTGTACTTTTGATTTGGGATTCAAGTTCCATACTTTTTAACGGGAATCATGACATGCTTCTATGAATAGAAGAAAAAGGATAAACTGAAACAATTACATTCAGTAACCTACCAAGTTCTATTTGACTGCAAATCCAATAGAGCTAAAAGATAACAAACCAAAAACTTTTGTGCTTGTTGCCCATAATACAAAGAAGCTACCCTATCTTACAAAGAAATGAAGGTAGGTAATGCTGGTCGAAAAGTATAGTATACTTATCTGGCTAGATGCACCATGTGAATCCCCAACTCTTCGCAAGGAGATCTCCAGTCAATGAAGAAAGAAAAACTACTGATTCCTTGATGGTAAATGATAGAACATTCAATGCAGGAATCAAATAGGGATATGATTCACTGCTCTTCCAACTAATAAGAACATCCGTTTGCATAGTCGTTAATGCCAGTCACCAATTAGTACCCATAGTGTATGCTCTATTTCAAACAGAGACATCCCTGTCTGTGAAACAGCTCTGACGAAAGCCATGTTTGCAGTTATGTTGAGAGCATGCCTGTCACGACCCGTCCCAAGTCACCCTAATGGACCTGACACGTGTCGAGCACCAATGGTAGATACCAGCTAAGTGTTGGACCTACCACCAAGGCAACTATGACATGTTCGAGCTGTGAAACTTTTTTA